CTCCATCGCCGACCCATCAAACCTCGGCGGCCAGGTTTGGGATCCCGGATCAGGCGTCCGCGGCTGCGGGCAGGGGCACCGGCGCGCGGGCCTGCCGGGGACCGCATCCCGCGGAGCCGGGGAGGCGATTGGGCGCCGAGGGGCGGTGGGCTGGGAGGGGAGGAGGCCGGGGGCGGCGGGCGGGCGGAGGCGGCGGGCGGGGGCATCCCACCCATGGGTGTGACCAGGGCTCCCGAAGCCTTCCACGTGCTGGCGGGGCGGTCGCTGAAAGGCGAGGTGGGGCCCGCCCGGCCGTGTGCGCCCCTTCCGGTTGCTGTCTTTCCTTTTCCGCTTTTTGCGGCTCCTCTTTTCCGGATTTTGCGGTTTCCTTTCCGGGAGGGGGAATGGGGGAGCAAGGGGAGTGGGACCACGTGGTGCGCGATGGGCTGCGGGGCCGATGGGTGGAGGCTGCGGCGCCCCGGCTGCGGCTCTGCGTGGGAAAATTGGGGGTTTGCATGCCGAGGGGGCTGATGGGGGATGAGGGGGCCGGCGCCCAGCGTGCGGGAGCGCCCGCGCCGGCGCGCGTGCGAGTGCCCGTTCGTCGAAATTCGAGCCAAAGCTGGGCGACGCGGCGACGAGGACGCTGGGAGGATCCGGCGAGCGCGGGGTGGCGCGGGCCGCTGGAGGGCGGGGTGGGCGTGGGAGATTGTGGCGCCCGGTGGACGGGGTGTGCGATCGGAGACCTGGGACCTTGGAGGCGCAGGCCTGGGACGTCGTCGTGCGAATGTGTTGGCCTCGTGTGGGCTTTGCAGCAGTCGCCCGTAGCGCCGGGCTGGGCTGGACATGCCCGGCGTTTTGTCGCTGGTATTGGGCGCGTTAGGGTTTTCCATGCGTCGAGTTCATGCCACCATTCCCATCCACCGTTCCCAAACATTGTAACACTGTGATTGGACTCCATTCGAGCTTTGCACGAGGGGTCGGGCTCTGTGGTGGCGAATGTGTCACGGTGCCGACCCCATGGGCCCCTCCGAGAAGGAAACCAACCAGGAGAGCGATCAGTTGATGGCCGCATTCTCCTTGTCAAGCCAAGTTGACATCTCACACGCAGATGTCGATGGAAACGCCTCAACGCGTCATCGAGGCATGCGATGGACGAGGGAGGCGTTTGTCTGATCGCGTTGGCCAAAATGCTGCTAGCACGGGCCTTGTGGCAGGAAGGCGATGATGGGGAAGGCACGATGTGGAGCCAAGGTTGTGTGTGTGCCGGAGGGATGGCAAGTTGGGCCAATGTGTGCAGTTGACTCCCTGTGGTACATTTGCCTTTTGAAGACCAAGCAGAGCCCTTGCACCTCGCTTGCAATGGGAGGGATGTAGAAATCGGAGATGCTCGTGTTCATTCACGTGCCCATATCTCCACTTGCCACCTGTCTATTCGTGTGCTTTTGGCAGCCACTGGCATGCCATGCAAGGCGTGCTCAGGGAGCAAAGCAGTAGAGATCAGTGAATCTCTCCCTGGTCGGTGCCATCCTGTTCTGGGCGTGGCTGGTTCACAAGGATCGATGTGTTATTGCGGTGCATGGCGTGTCATGTGGCAGTTCTGAGTGAGGGTTGTGGGTGTAATCGGACAGCCAGCGAAACAGAAAATGAGAAATATGAAGGCACAGGGGAAGAATTTTTTCACTTCAGATGGAAAGTAGTAATCTATGGACAACCCCTCCCAAAACAGATGTGTGTTAGACTCATTTTCATAGTTTCGAGTGCAAGATGAGGGAGCATACAGCACAAACAGGGCCAAGAATAAAAAGACTGCAATCAGGGTGGGTGGGTAGGTGGATGGTGGTGGGGGAAGGGGGAGGTGGGGGAGGTGGGAACCCATTACGACTTTGTGCAGCAGCTGGGAAAGTTGTCCGATTTCTTTCATTGCAATGTCCACTGAATGCCAAGCTACCATGGGTGGCAAACCATTGTGCAAGACGCTGTTTTGTGCTTTGCACAGAAACTTCTGTGTCATCAGATTATCGTTCGTGGGAATCTCAAGAATCTTGTCCTGTAGTGGGATGCTCACTGTGTCACACTTTGTCATCCCCTTTAGAATCTTTGCTGCGCAGGCATGCCATCCATGGGGTTGTGCAGATGTGGCACAGGAGAAAAATTCCCAGTGCCATGTGACTAGAGTGAAGCGAACACAGGATCTTGCCCTCGAGAGGTTGTGGAAGAAACTGCTTGTGAATAGGGCATTGTTTTTCTTAGCTCCCTTGATTTGATTGGCCTCTGCCAGGCAAAACAGTGTGCTGAACTAGATGAAACGATTGCTTGTACAATTCTACAGTTCGCATTTTTCTACTTGTGCATTCTTACTGGACACAGATCATGGAATTGGGCGCAGCCTTGAGCCTGGGATCACCCTGGTGCTGATCCATTTATTTTAATCGTTGTGGTGACTATACAGTCCCAGGCGTTCACGAGCCATTGAACAGCAATATGTGCATGTGCAGCTCATTGTTCCAACTCATTCACATGCACCCCAACCTTCAGGCTGCTGGAGTTTCACAAGCGCACACTGAATTTTCTCTCCCACCTCACTTGCAGGATGTGGCTTTTGTTGACGAGTCTATTGAGACAGCAGCTTGCAGCTGGAAGCTCTACTGCATATGCGATGGCCATGGGGGGGTTGGGGCTGCACGCTTTGTGCAGGACAACCTTGTGTGCAGCCTGAGAAGACTCCTCCCAAAAGGACCCCAGCCCGATGTTGCAGCTCCAGGTAGGTGTTAGGATGTCTGAACTTCTTTGGGCGCAAGTACTCATCCGATTATCCTGTGAAATCCTATTCCGTTTGACAAGAAGTGGCAAGGGACTGCCCTCGCTCCTTCAAGGTAGGAGATGGGTCAGGGTCCTTGCACAGAATGCCCCAGTTGGGATCCCTTGTGGGCTGCAGCTTGAACCAAGATCGAATCCGGCTGTGCACACCAGAGGAGAGGCAGGTGCCCAAGCATATGGATAGGTTTTTTGGGCCCCTTAATGTGCTGGTTGTGTGCCAGGCTTCCTTTCATGCTCATCTTCAACAGTGGTAGAAGTGCTGCCTTTCATCTTCTTTCTTTCATTGCTTTCCTTGCCCTGTGTGAGTGGAGATCATTTTTTTGGGAGAAGCAATGTGACTTTAAGTTTCTGTATGTCGAAGTTTAGAATGTCGGTTCAGTCCAGTGCAGTTCAACTGGGTCTGCTGGCACAACATGGGCATTCTGTTGTGTATGAGAGAGAAAAACTGTACAGGAGGAAAGTGAGCTGGTCCACACAGTTTGTTTTGTTGATATGCTCCTGATAATGACAATCATATGTGTGTTGAATTGTTAGAGGGGAGGCAGTGGGCAGAGCAGATAACCAGTGCCATTGCTGCCACATTCGTTGCCCTTGATGAGGGCTTCTCGGAGTACAGATGCCCTTCAGGTAAAGTTTGCCCACTTGCCAGGAATGGCCCAAGAGCAATTGTCCACACGCACTGCTAGTCTCATTAAGACATGTTGTGTGCTTCAAAACATGGCTATCAGCACACTGGCATGGTGTGAAAACAAAATTGTAATCGTAGAAACAGATTCATGAATGTTGCTGTGCATCAATTTGCACAAACTAGGAGCTGGAAGGAACAGGGCGGTTTTGTTGCTCACTGTAGGAGATGGGGTTGCTCTATAGTGAGAAATACTTTAATGCCAGAAGTTTTGCATGTTTCCCAAAAGCGGTTGGTGCAGAAAGAATTTTGTGCACTCAATGATGTGCAATAATTTCACTTCCCTACACATTCCTTCCCTCCAGTAATTCTGGCAAGCAGAGATTCCATACTGGGAAATCTGCTGTCCAAAACAGGTATCTGCCTTCATGCCCTGCTCGTCCCTTGGTCCATGATGTTGAAAGGAGGGGGGGGAGGGGGCACGGCGCACAAAACTCTTGAGCATCCAGCTTGCCCAAGCTGCAGCCCACAGCTGCTGTGTGTCCACATGGCTGCTGTAGCCATCCCTGCAGCCACAGCAAAGACTATGAAAGTGCCACATCGCGTTGAGTATTCTGCGCGCCTGTCTGTGCTGTGCATGGGCTTGGGCAGGACAATACACTGGCTGGCAGCCCCTGGAATGTGGAAGTGAAGACTCAAGGTGCTGAAAGCCCTTGACCCTGGACAGTTTGATGCTGAGCACATGGGCACATTGTGCTGCAGAGTTGTCAGTAGTGAGCAGTCCACCCCACTCTGCATGACAGAGACATTTCTGCAGATGCTCGGCTAGAGATCCACCTGGTCATATCAGTGCACATGTGCTCTGTGTGGCTGCTCAGCAATGATTGCTGCAATTGGCAGCCACAGGGCACCAAAAGCAAAGGTGTCTTGACAATCAAAGAGTTGGCAAGCAAAAAAGTTCACAGGGCGCCCAACCATCAGGTGATGCAAGGTGCTGTTCACAGGTTCATGCATATTGTCTGCAAAACGATCGAAACCTCAAGAACACCCTCCTGTCAGTGCTGCCAATAGCAATCAACTGGTAACAGCACTGCTGGCATGTGGGTGATGGATGTACTCTATAAAAAGGTTTGGCAAGGCACCTCAAGCCTGCTGTGTCACAGATGAATAAACACCCTGCAGCGCAGTGGTAGAAAAATACCAAAGAACAACCAATCTTCCATTGCATTGTCACACCCACACTGGTTGCCTTCCAACTGCAGCAGTGCCTTGCCCCAGGTTCTTCGACACAGCGCTCTTCAATGGATCTGTGTCCATTTACATCAATCGTTGCAATGTGTTCCGGGTTGTAATATGTTCAATTGTGTTTCCATGCACTGTCATCCTGCACGTTTTTTCAGCAGATTCGCTGCGCTCGCCTTCCGCTCAGTTTGAAGCTTTCCGGACCCCTGTTCACATTGCACATGCCATCGCTGCAGGCACAACAGTGTCAGTGGCCCTCCTGTGTGGGTGGCTGCTCACTGTGGCCAATGTCGGCGACTCCGAGGTGTACCTGGACACCGGCACATGCATTGGGGAGATGGCCTGCTGCCACAAAGTGGATGACAACAAGAATGAGCAGCAGCGCCTGGCTCAGGCGGGCCTTCGTGTAGACTCGCTGTCAGCGTCGCTCATGGGGCCGCCTCTGCCGGGGGAGATTGGCGTGGGGCCCTTGAGGGTGTGGCCAGGGGGCGTCGCTGTGTCGAGGTCGGTGGGCGACTTCGAGTGCGGTAATCACATCCTGCCGGTGCCGCACATCCGTCAGGTAGTGGCTGGGGTCTGTTGGGGGTCAGTGACAATTTGGCAACACACATTTTGGCAACCGTGTTGGTGCATGTTGGCCACCATATCGATATCTGTTGGCAACCATATGTGTTTCCCCATGCCGGGGGTTCATTCCAGGTCACTGACATGGAACTGGGGAATTTGGAATTTGGGTGGATTGATTGGTGTGAAATTAGATTTTGACTTGTTGGTTGTCAAATGGTCTGTTTGCTTGATTGCAAGTGTCGAATATCAGTCCGTACAACTGCATCAGGCAAGATGTCAATCCTCTAAATTGTCTTCACCTGTGTATGAATCCATTTGCTGCCTCGATTCAACCGAATTTTTTTATCCACAGAAGTATAAATTCGATAAATGGGCAACAGAGTAACATTTGTTAGGCGAAGTCTGACAGGGTGCCACCCCTACACCTGTGATGGCAGCTGATGGCTGTGTGCCCAGCTGTGGCTAATTTTGTTCCCAAGTGCAGTATTATGGAATAAAGGATGGGGAAAAAGGTTGCTGCTGCCACACTGCTTTACTGCCATAACGACAACACTTGGAGCGTTCTTTGTAGTATGACTGTCAGGTGGTTTACCATCGTGCAAAGTCACATTTTTATACAAGTATATAGTGAATGATAGTTTAGCGATTGTTATGCATTGCTTAAATTTAACATAACTTCAATATCACTTTATTGTATTGTTGTGCAATATTATTTGGAATGCTTTACTGATGCTGCTGGAGTGCTACCAAGGCATTTGCGAATGGTCTATATGATCAAGGTAGTAAACGTACCTTCATCACAGATACAGACACTGGAAGGATAGGTAGAACTGAAAGAGGCTTTTGTAAGTTTTGTTTATGCCTCCAATGTTTGCTGTTTAGCTTGCAATTACTCTGCTGCCCTTGCACGTGAGAGTGGCGATTAATCAACAGTACTGTTTTGTCCCAGTATGTGCATCAATGGTTATGTGTGTCACTCTGCATAGCTCGCACAGCTAGGGAAGTGCTGCACTCTGCTGATTGTCATTGCTGATATTGGCTGTGAGCTGCACTGTGCTCTGCCAGTTGTCATCCCCCAAACTGGACTGAGTTTGTAGCCACGCACCACAGATCGTCATCCCAGACACTGGTGCCCGTATTCTCATGGCCTCCGATGGGTTGTGGGACTACTTCACTGGCCTGCGTGCCTGCAAAATGGCAAGGACAAGCACCCTGTCGAAGGTGCCACACCGGCTCTTCAAGTCGCTGATGTTCCACACCGATGGCGTCCTCACGGATGACACCACCATACTGGCGTTTGACGTCCTGCCTTCTGGTGCCACAGACTTCCGACATCTTGCAAAGCAGGTAGGCACGCTGATGGCACTCAGGGACGATGTGTACAAAGGAATCGAAACTCAGGGCAGTTGGTGAGAAACCTGGAAATGTATTGTCCAGCGGAAGAAAGCAAAACCCAGGGCAACCCGACCAGAGGGTAATCCTAAAAGCATCTGTGCACACTGTGCCATTTTGCTTAGACTTTTGCGCCGTCGTCCATGTTCTTGGAAAGAGAAGTGCTGAAAGTCTTGCTCACGAGGGGTGGTCCATTGTAGGAACTACTATTCTTTTATGTCATGTAGTCTCTGGTGCTCAACTAGCTGATTTGCTGCTTCTGCTGTTATTTTGTGTCTGCTCTTCTATAGGTTGCTGAGTGCGTTGTTTGTTTGTGATGGGTCGAGAAGGGGATGCTCATACGCTTGGTGTCCTTGTCTCTGCTGTTCGAAATGTTCACATGCCTGTTGTCTAATTGTGCATCTATTATCATGTTTGGATTATTGCTTTGTTGGCTATGTTTGTATTTGTCTATTTGTCCATCTATCCGTTGTTGTCTGTCCATTTGCCTTCTATCCATTTCTGCACTTGTCCATTTGTCCTTTCGTCCATTTTTCATATTTATGTCAATACCACATCCACCACTTGTTTGTGACAGGTGAGGAAGAGCACGCGAAGGAAGGTTCACTCGTGGAAGGACATTCTGTCCATCTTAACGTACCCATTGCAGGATGGCAGTCAGGAGCCCCTGTCCCTCTACACAGACATCGACGTCTACACGCACTATCCACGGATCACATCACGAGGGGTGGCGATGTACAGAATGAACAAAGAGCGGTACTGTGCACTGTGGGTGCCCCCCAAGGCAGTTCACCCTGTGCGCTATGACAGCACCATGGTGGACTTGATGAACGACCTGCAGCTGGAAGATGGTGGCAGGTGTTTGTCTGAGCCTGCAGAGGGGCTGATCGAGCAGGATGGGGTGGCAGGCGGCAGGTGCGAGAGCTGGCAACAAAGCATTGGTGGCTGGTTTGTGTGGTTCCATTTGTTTTGTTGTGTGTTTATTGATTACTAAGATGCTAGTAGTGGCGTTGGCAATGGATCGAAACTGTGTGGTCTTCTGGCTGAGTTTTCACTGCTCAGTTTCACCATTAGACTGACTGAAAGATTGCCTGTGCCAAGAAACCACCTTGTCGTTTCGGTGCTTTGGAAACGAAACAAAAAGATGCCACCTTGGGGAGTTGCAAGCTCCCACCGAGTTCGTGTCGTGCCTGTGGTTTGAGGGCCTGCTGTGGTCTGTCTCATCGTTGTGCAGGTGTTGGAGGTTTCCAATCTCAGCATTGCTGTTGAGTGGTGGTACTTGATGTTACCACCTCACACCACTGCATATGCAAATGAGCACATTCAGTCGTTCGGTCATCAAAGTGTGCACTTGTTCCTTGCAGGATGGAGGCACGTGTTGGGAAGGATGGTGGAAAGGTGAAAGTTGGGAGGGGCACGCCAAGCGATGCATCCAGCGATGGCCGCAGGAGTCCTTACAGCATTATCAAGGACAGGGCGCGGCGCATCACCCAGAGGTCCCAAAACAAGAGCAAGGTTGCAAAGAACTCAACAAAGCAGTTCACAAAATCGCACAATTCGCTGTTTCACGATGACTCTGCTCAGGCCATCCGCATAGACCCTGTGGACCAGCAGGAGGACATCATGATGACAATGTAGATGTGGTGGTGTGGAAGATGAGTGCAGGGCCCCTGCCAAGGCCCGCAGGTTTCACAGCGGCATCTTTTGGCGCTCATTTTGCGCTGGGGATGCGCACAGAGTTGGCCAAGTGCCATCAACAATGATTCGTGGAGTCCATTTCAAAAACCAAGGTAGAGGACTAGTGGAATGGTGGTGTTCACAAGCTTGTCACAGCAGTTTGTGGTCCTTTGGCAACACATGCACTGGTTTCATGCTTGGAGAGTGTATGCCGGGTCTGGCTGGCTGGCAGTGGCTCTAGAGGCTTGTTAGGCAGTTCGCAGTGATGATGAGCGTAGGGGTGGATTCATAGACGACCGCCATGGGTAGGGTGGAATACGCATCTGTGCATGCAACCTGCATTAGCAGTTTTGGATTTGTGTTGGGGGTAAGGGCGTGGCTAGGGGCGTCCCAGACCAGCAGCTGCAGCTCGCTGCTGTAGGCCCGGGAGTATGCGGACGCGTAAAGCGCGCTGGCCAACTCAATCAGCACAGCATCAATGGCGCCGCACAGGCACACGCAATGCACGATGGCCGGATGCCAAGCCGACGTCCTGAGAGAGCCGGCTATGCGCCGGGATGGGTTGTTGGGGAGGAGACCTGCTGCGATTGGTGCAGGGGGTCTGTCGCAGTCTCTGAACATTTGCTTGTGAACATTCGCAGAGAGTGATGGGGAGGGCCACGGCCACAGGGGATCAAGAACGCAAGTGATACGTACAGCCGATGTGGGCACGAAATCCTACTGAACATTTGCTGCAGCGGGTGACGGGGAGGGGCCGCGGCCCAATGGATCCAGAACACAACTGATACGTGCAGCCAGTGTGGGCACGGAATCCCGCTTCAACAAGTGAAGGAGCACCGATGCTGCTTCGCTCTGTGATTCAGTTTTGTGAATGTAAGCATCTGATTGTGTGACCAGCCGTCCCTGGTGCTCAGGAGGCAACCTGCTGCGCCAATCATGGAGCACCCTCATGAGCACAGTCGTTGTAACTGCGGCAATGTTTTGCGGCCGATATGGGCACACGTAAGCCCAATTGGCGCGTCCCACGTGGGGCGCATAGGCTGCCGCCATGTCTCGCGTTCTTGCAAGTCCCACCCAGGGCCACGGCTGGCTACGGGGGCTCGCACCGTGTCATCAAAGCTTTGATCGCTCCTAAAACACATGCTATACACTTTTATATGCTTTCGCAACTGTCTGATATATATACTCAATTTGTTCAAAAACTATGCGTGTGCCGCCACTTATTCGCCTAGGTGGCGCACGGCTCCTCCAAATCCCTGCAGTCTCCTGTTGTAAAGCATGAGTTCACGCAATTCCCCCCTTTGTCCTACTCACTTCCCTACTGTTGGGCTCCAGTACTCGCGTTACATGGTGCCTCCCGTTGAGTGCACCCTCGAACTCGCCCTAAACTAGTGGTTTACCTTCACTTGTAATTGCTGTCTTTGAAGTATGTATTAAATGCTGCTATTGAGTTTTTTCTTAGTGTTGTCTCTGATTTAGTAGAACTGGTCACATTCATCTCCCATTCACGTGCCATTCGCGCCAAATTCGCTCACCACATTATCGTTGTCACTACTGCTGATTATGTCCCGCGTTTCCATCAGTGACAATGAGATCGAAGTACTGGCAAAAGTACGAGCCAGGTAAAGGAACTGACTAAACTATTGACCACCTGCGCATGTTCTCCAAGGGAGTTGTTCCTGCAACGGGACGGCAGCAAGGGATGCGGCCGTCGCACAAGAGCACAGTCATGACTCCCGCCCATTGAAGTAAGAAAGGTGGTGCAAAATGTGCACTGCACCTCTGCCGGAGGTCCCTGTGGGGTCTGGGACAGGGAAGCAAAAGCAGCGTAAAAACGCGAGCCAAAACCCAAAGACAATATAAGAAGGCCAAAACAAATACCATGTTTTGATCACGTTCTGTCGTGTGGTATCTTGCCGATGCGCCATTTTCAGGACTCAAGGATTTATGGCTGTTTTACGGCACACGTCCATTTCTTTGCGTTCAGCTTTGCGACGGTCAATTTCTGATTGCCGGTGAATTCGCGGCTTGAACTCAATCCCAACCCCGCCAAACCGCCTTCCTGTTGCCGTGGCGCTCGGCAACAATCAGGTGCTGAGGCCAGCCTGCACACCAGCCTTTTCGCTACGCCAATTGCTACGCCATTTAACACAAATCGCTTATACCGCAGCCGCTTCTATGGCATCGCGGTCACTGTGGCGTCGCCACTTTCTGTCTAAAGCGCGTCGCAGTTGGCATCGAAAACATGCCGTTTCCTTCCAGTGCGGGGGCTCAGCGGTCTCCGAGAATCCTGGAACTCCAGACAAGCGCGAAGAGCCGCACAGTCGCCGGGGCTGCAATCTTGCTTCTGTCGCACCGCTTCGCCGGGATCCCATCGGCATTTGAAAAACAAAGCGGAAGTTCCGCTCGCACTAGTGCCACAGCACTAGACCCACAGTACTGTGGGTCCAGCAGGGCCCGTGCGGAATCCCTCGGAAGCTGGCCTCACGGCACCCCTTTCCCGATGAGCCGGAGGCGGCGCTCAACTCAAAAGCGTTCAACAGAAAAACGGCACAGCAAAGTACTGCACATTACTCGGCCTTGTGCCTCTGTTCTCCAAAGGCGCGTTGCTCACCCAGCGCGCCCTACACACCATCGGAACAACTTTGATACAACTTGTATGTTGCTTGAAGCAACAGGCACGACAGACAGTCTGTCCAAATGAACCTTTCAATGGAACTCCTCGAGAGAGTGCACCACCAGCCCGGCACTGGTGTGCAGTAATAGCACCACTGCCACTCAAGCGGAAGCCAAGCCGCAGGGCGCCTTGTTCAAACTTGCGCCTCGTTGCTGATCGCGTGAGCGCTCTGATCTGTCCCGGGGCCTCCAGCCTATGTCTACCCGGAACGTTGAGAGGAAAAGGAGGGGTGTGGCCTCGACTACGTGTAATTCGCGAATATCACCAATCTCTGACTCGCTCGCATGAAAACGAAAGGCCTCCAGATTGGCCCTCAGAACCGGTGGCAAAGGCTGTGGCTCGCGGGCGCCATTGGCGGGCTCCGGAAGGGGTGCGAGGCAAGGAGGGAAGGCCGCGTCCGCCCTGGTCACAGTTTGCCGCTTGCCTCCTCTTCGATCTTCATCCGCTCGTACAGCTCCTGCGCCGCTGCGCATTTGAACAGCAGCTGGACCAGCTGCATCTTGTCTTCTCCGACCATGACCTCAAGCCTTTCCTGAATGTCCTGCTCGTTCAAGTCCCTGTCGTCCAAGCTCCTTATGAATTCTATGCACTCCTGCAGGCAGGGAGGAATGTGCACGGCAGTCGTTACTTTTGAGTCAATTACTGCCTTCCGCCCCAGTCGTTCGTTTCATGCTTCCCTACGCTTGATTCGTGCAGCCGTCATCAATGGGCAAACCCTAAGCATCCAGGAAACAATGCAGATGCAACTTCCCGTTTCAGAATCCCTTGAGTTAACAACAACTTGAATTTAGCCGGCATTCAAAGGAAGTGAACGACGGCTAGGGTCAGGGGAAAAATGCGGTTGTCGCCTGCAGGAGGTCACGGATTGTCTTGGTTCGAAGCTCAAATCCCAGTACAGGAAGCCACAGCACGAGCGAAAACTTGCACAAGCCATCCCAGCCGGCCCCACCGCCATTCAACTTTGCTGAGCGAAGCTCGCCTTCGTGCACACAATGCAGCGGCAAGAGAACTGCTGGGCGCCAAACCTGAGCGTCCGAGCAACGAAGCGCCGCCACTCACCAGGCGGGTGACACTCTTGGGTAAAGAAAGCTATGCAAGGACCAGCACTTTCAGTTTGTGGTTTTACGGCATAAACATATGGCGGTAGAACTTGTACCGTTTCGGCTGCAAAAATGTTACCTGCGCAACGCCAGCCCCCAGCCCATCCTCTGCCCTCTTCCTGAGTTTCTCAGCCCTCCCCTTTAGGGCATCCAGCCGCCCCTCCTCGTACACCTCCCCTGTCTCGCTTTCGCTGCTCGCTGCACCCACGCGCAAGCCGCTGGTGGCGGGCTGCATCATCAGCAGCTGCATCTGCGCCACAACGTGCGGCGCGTCCTGCCGCACCTCCCGCATGGAGTCGTCGGCGGACGACGCCCCCGTCGTGTTTTCCGTCGCGTTTTCCGTCCCATTTTCCTTCGTGTTTCCCGTCGACTCAGCGACGGCCTCCTCCTCCTCCTTCTCCTCCCCCTCCTCCTTTTCCTCCTCCTCCTCCTCCTCCTCGCCGTCGGTCTCGTAGGCCTCCTCGGCGTTCTGTCCCACTGGCGCGTCGGTGGGATGACGGCGGCCTCCAGACGCTGCGGGCAGAGAAGGCGCTATCGACGACTTGCATGACTCATTGGGGGGAATAAGATGATTCGAATCAATCCGGGAACATCCGGATGCTGCACAAGCACAAATGCACCCGGCGTGTCGAACGTCATCCGCACGGAAATGGCCATTGCACAGAATTCTGGTCCTCTTCGTTGCGCTTCGAAGTTGCTAGAAAGCGAATTGCACCAACTTCACTAACCTGAAAATTCGCTTTTCCATATCTTGCAAATGGATTATTCAAACCGTCAGTCAAGGCGATTGTGTAGGTGCGACCGAATTAGCTTGACTTATCCATGTTGCTGAGGGGGATTCGTTGCTGAAAAGATGTCTGACTTCACGGCACTGGTACCGTTTCCCATTCAGCGGCGGCGCATTGTCTGCGCGCCCAACCGTTTGCCTCACCTTCCATGCTCCATGACACGTAAAGTGCGAAAATTCAACGGGGCGAACATGGTGAATGAACAAAAGTGTCCCTGAAGGCAACGTGAAATCGCGACACACTGGCGATGTCCACTACCAACAAAAGGACCAAATAACACTTTTTGTGAACACATCTATATGCATCTCGTCAGTGTTAAGCATGCTTAGATTACGGAGTAACCCAAACCCGTAAACTTTGTACACCTTTGAGCACGCGTTGTTTGGATCTTCCCTT